TCTCATGGCGGAATGGCAGCAACGACTGTCGCAACCGAGGGCTGGGCTCGCTGCCATCGCAGCGGTAAGTCCCCTCTTTGAGGAGTGGCTTGAGAGACGCTACGGCGTCCTCACCTACCGCCTGACGCAGGTCCTCACCGGACATGGAAGTTTCGGGAGGTACCTGTGTCTGATGGGGCGGGAGGAAACGCCCGGGTGTCATCACTGCGAGGACCGCCCTGAGGACACGGTGGAACACACGGTGGGAGAATGCCCTTCGTGGGCTGAGCACCGCCGTGTCCTCAGGGAAGTGATCGGCGATGGCGACCTCTCGCGTCCGGGCCTAGTGCAGGCCATGATGCGGAGCGAGGGGGATTGGGATGCCGTCTCCTCCTTTTGCGAAGCAGTCATGCTAGCTAAGGAGGAGGCGGGACGCGTGAGGCAGCGAAGCGCTGCCTCCTCGCAACCCAGCCATCGCGAAGGACACACCGGGCGTCGGGGATCGCGGGACGATCTCCGGCCACCGTAAGCGCGGGCCTGCGGACGGCGAGCATGGGTGGCTCCCCGTCCGACCAGAAACAGACCCGAGCGTACGGCGCGTCGCGTTCCGCGCGCGCCTCAAAGAGCCATCAGACCACCACAGATGGGGCCCAACAAGGCCGATGCCGATTCGGAGTCGCGGAGAACCTAACGGGTAACCGGGGCTCCGGCTCGACGTGCAGGAGAAGGAACGGGGTGGTTTTTAGTCAGTAAGAGTCTGACACTCCCTCCCGCCTCACCCAGGCGGGAGCAGTCATTCGATGATTTCCCCCCTTAAAAAAAAACGCCACATAGTACCTATTCTTTTAGGGAAATACGGCTCGCTTTCAAATGATGCGCCCACCGCGCACGTTCAGGAACTCGAGCGTGCATTTTGTTTTGATCGCGCTCTTTTCAAAGTCGACAATTTTTTTTGTGCAATAACTTACGGATAGTATGATTGTTGATGTTAATAGTTAGAGTTAGTAAAAAAAAATGTTTATTCAGACACCTTATGGGTCAGAGTCAGGGCCCAGGGTGGGGCAAGTGCCCCAACTTGCCCCAGTGTGGCTACGCCCATGTCTGATGGTTGTATTACTGTGAGGTTTTAATGGCAGTGAAGCATACAAATTGAAATTGAATCACATAACACCATGTCAATAATGAATACATTCATAAAAGTAATATATAAAGTGGTTTTTCTGAATTATTGAATTATACATATTTTATGACTGCCTCGTTGGTCGAGTGGTCGCAAGTGCGACGGCCGGGCAAGGGGTCTTGGGTTCGATTGGGGCAAAGTATTACAGGGTTTTTAAAAAAATCTCAGTAGTAGCACGGAGTCTGGAATCGTGCCCAGTATATTGCAATAGGCTCACCTATAATAGGTGCAATAGGTGCCTGCAATAGGTGTGCACCTCTGCCTACCCCTTCGGGGATAAAAGGTGTGATGTTATGTTATGTTTTTCTAAATTATTATTTAATATAATACATAATATAATATAATAAGAGTTATGATCATATTATAAGCTCTGGATAACCACTAGGTATCTACCAAATCATTAAATAATTTACAGATAAACCTGCTCATCTGATTTGATTTTGAATCATAAAATCATCACATAGGCAGTGCCATCTTTACCATAAGGGCACATGGGTTTTTTTTGTAAATACACCCACAATACACAGGGTGGAAATTTGAAATGCCACCCGAAGGGGAAGTAGTCCTGCAATGCAATAAAAGTACAGGGTGTGACTTTTACAGATTTTAATCAGTTCGATTAATGTGGCTAGCAAATTTTCGAATGCCGGTTTCTTTCTTTCAAAAATAAAGGAATGTTTCCTTTGAGTAAAATTGTTATTAAGAGTACTTCCCCTTCAGGTGGCATTACAAACATCCACCCTATAGAAGAAAAATGTAATATGAGGCATGTTTAAAAAATAAATATTCTAAAAAGGCCCCGAATTAGTTTGTGCCCAGGGGCTCCAGTATAGTCTAAGACGGCCCTGTACACAGGTGACATACCTAATTATTATAATGTTTACAATAACATAATTAACACAGCAATTTACAGTATGTTTTCAAGTGCCTAATTGCAAAATCGAGTTGTACATAAACTGCAGAGCATAATTGAAGATTAGATAAAGGCAGTGAAGCTATTGTGTGCCATGCAACCAATATCTCATCTGGTGTAATGGAAAAATTGACATAGTAAACTATATTAATGTGTTTATTTAAGTAATTTAATGAGAAGTATAGGCAAGTTTTGCACCAAATCAATTTTAATCATAAATTATTTACAAACTAAGGTATTATTAAGCATAATGCTTTGATACTCTTATTGAAAGCATCACCCCTTTGAATGTTATTTTATAGTTATTATGTTTTGAAAGATAGATTTATTATTTTATATAGTATAAAGTCATCAAGATTACTCCTACAAGTGACCTATATGTATTGATAAACAATTGTTCACAAGTCCCTGACCTAGATTTAATTAATCACAAAATAAATATTGCAATAGTGTGTAGTGACTACAAGGAACGTTTTATTTTGTTTATTGCATCAACTACCTAAATGAGAGTAATAAAATATATTTCAGCTGCCACTTGGTTTGATACTAAGTAATTTATTTTAAAACATATACTCAAATAAAAATCCAAACCACACAATGTGTTTGAAATAGGTTTAATAGTTCTTTTTATGTGCAATAAAAATCCTATTGGATTGACTCACCCAAGTGTCCATAAACTGTCTGCACAGGAATATTGAGTTCTTCCAAGGCATTCTGTTTAAGTATAAGATTTTCAAGCACGACGTCGCCTGCAAAACATTTATAGGAGACATAAATAACCGCATTCAAAGTAGCTCGGCAACTATGACATCACCCTGTTGCAAAAACTTACCGCCCCAAATTCCTAGCTTCAGCTGAGACCTGTTCAGGTTCTCCACGTAGCTCCCCAGGAATCTGTTCAGCACGTCCACCACAATCGATTCGAACACCATGGTGAACTATGATTTCTTATTTACAACAGAACATTAAAATTTTCGTCACTTCTGTCATGGTCCGATATAACACATTATTCTTTTAATTTTACTGAATATACTTTAGTATACGACAATATACAGAAACTGTTAAATAAAAATAAAAGTCGATATCATTACGCGCGACAAACTGATTTGAAAAATTATAAGACTTATCAATAAAGTTCAACCCAGACAGACCGCAGCGCAAAATATCAGTGCTGCCAGACCGAAACAATACTCCCCGTCTTTTTATTTCTGTATTTTGCCAACTTAAATATGTTTAAGGATGCATTTTATTTGACAATAGACCTTTAACTTAGTGGAAAAAATAACTAGAGTTGAATGAAACACCTCTTATTAAAAATGAAGTCCCTAAAAATCTTAAGAAAAGTAAGGAAGTAGTAAGTTTATTATGTCAAAAATATTAAACTACCAACAAATCTTGGAAAATAACCACTAGCAACATTTTAACCATATGTCAAAATCAAATATAATGCGTTCGGATACGGAAACTAAAAGTTCGATTAGAATCGACTAAAATTAAATTCTTACTAAACTAATTTAATAGGATAAAATTGGCCGCAGAAAGCTTTGTGGAGTGTGTAGAGCGGAGTGTTAAAGGATAAAGAGTATAATAAGCATAGGGGAGGCCCATGAATCAAATGTATTTGCTTGATGAGGAGGCCTTCGTTCAAAAATAAATGTTTACAAAAAATAAACTATTATAAGAAGAACATAACTGAAATGTCATTTTTATTACAAAAACAAGGACGTTGGAGATAATGCGGACAGTCCCTTGAAACAACCACAGTGGTGCCTGACTACTATAAACTCAAACGCAGAATACACACACATTGACTGACCCAATGTACTGTCGCGTGACCACAGACATATGAGGAGAAACAGACCAACATTAGCTATTTGTGAAGTCAAAAATACACAAATGTGCAAAATAACTTAAACGGGGTCGGACTATCCTCATAACTAGAGACCGGATAATATGCAACATAAAAAGCTTGAAATATGCATGCAAATATGCATGAAAAATGCCTAAAATATGCACGAAAACTGACAGAATATGCAACATTAAATGAGTTTTTTTTTGTTTTGTAAATATTATTCCTTTAGATTTAAGTATTTTGCGACGTGAACACTTGTCTTGACATGTTGGTCTATTTGAAACTTTTTAGTGCACGAAATGTTTTTCTCGCAAACTCGACAATATAAAACATTTAAGTCGTAAGTAAATGTTCCAGGAAATTCACTTATCCACGAAGACAAACTTTTTTTTTCGGGAGGCATTGTACACACACAAAAACTTTTAACTGCAGGTGAATTATCCGAGCACGAGCGTGTCAACAATCAAAGTAATAATGACATGCATAATAGGTGGGAGTAGCGCGGTAGGCGAGTGCGCGGCGGCGCGATCATTTGTCTCTTTCATTTTTTGAGTACCTACCAAAACAAAATACGCGCGGCTGCCGAGTGCGCTACGCTCGAAAAATACCTACCTACTGTAAATTATAGCAATAATATGCATCATCACTAGATATTAGTAAAAATATGCTATTAGCCTTGAAAATCGCTTAAATATGCAAAGGCATATGCAAATGCATATTATCCGGTCTCTACTCATAACACATAACATAGAAAATGTATAAAATATTGTTTTTTCAAATAAAACATATTAATAATAATAATTTTTATTAAGGCACTTGATATGGTTACGAATATTACCTCCCCTTAATACCACTGACTTCCCAAGACAAGTTCTTTCCTTGTCCTGTCCGAGCAAGCGGAGAGAGCGCCATGTTAATTTGTTGTACTTGTACGTGTAAATTAATACTATTTTATGCATAACTTCTTTTAAATATTATGCTTTTCGGCATACTCACGTAGTAATTATTTAACGAGGACCTCGACTAGTTTTACTGAGCACTGTCGCGTTACCCAGAAGCAGTGCGACAGTTGCCGCATTGCTGATTTTTAAAAAAATATCAAGAAGAAATAAATTATGTAGGTATTATAAATGATATGTACGCAAACCATATTAGAACAATTAAAAACTACCTTCCTTGTTTGAATTTAGTGCCACGACTAAATAAGTTGAATTAAACCTCCATTCCTATACCTATAATTGTTGTAAAAAGGACAAAAAATGTAAGTCAATAAATAGAACCTCAAAAATATTATTTTAGTTTGGGCAATTTTTGTCTAGTAACGTGACACCATTACACACGCACCATAAATATTTCTCAGTGACATTGCGGCCGCCTTTTTTCAATGTTCTTGGGTATCTCGGGGCAAATAAAATTACTATTTAGACGGGAAAATTTTATTGGCCTTTATTGTAACAATAGTACTAGAGCAAAGTTAACAACTGCAAGAAATGTAATATGGAATGCTTCACTTATTAACCCTTTAACCGCCGACAACGTAATATTACGGTTTTCGAAAGCTGTGTCCGAATCGCCACATACGTACAATCACGTTATTTTATTAAAAATCTTCTTATAGTGCACAAACTCCATATAAAATGTGTCAATTTCAAGATGTAGGGTATAATCTTTATTGTTATGGATATTTCTCAATGTTTTGAGTGATAAATACTGTGAAATTTGAGGTTTAATTAAATTGTGGTCACCGTCTCCATTATCTGTATCGCCAATCACGTAATTTTACGAGTACTAGGGATGGGGCGAATTCGAAAAATACTTAATAGGTTGTCTAAGAACAAACAAGGCACTATAGATATTACTGTCACTATTTGCAATGAAAGTGTATACTTTCATTAGAAAATAACCATAGTGTTACTTTGATGCAAGTATTTGTACTAATTAAAATGTATTTAAGTTTAAAATTATTTAATATTTATAACAATAATATAAAAATTTCATAACGCAGAACCGCACTAGTGCGGACAATCGCCGGTCGCCATCA